TAAAATAATAATAATAATAATAATAATAATAATAATAATAATAATAATAATAATAATAATTGAACACGTTAAAAAAAAATTTGATTTATAATTGATTGAAAAAAAAATGGATTATTAATTATTTTAACAAATTCTTACAAAAATTAATTAAATAAATAAATATTTTTTTTTTTTTTATCATTAACAAATATTTAAAATTAAACTTTTTAAAAAATTATTTTCAGTATTTATTTATGTAAATTATTATTATTTTTTTGCTTTAAAAAGTTAACAAATTTAATTATTATTATTATAATCATGCAAATAATTACACGAGATAAAGAGAGAGAGAGAGAGAGGAAAATGTGCAAAATAGTAAAATAATAATAATAATATATACCTTATAGAAAGAAAAAAAAATACACACACACACACACACTTTAATACATATTTTTAATAATAATTATTAATCATTTTTTTTTTATCGTAAAATAAATAAATAAATAAATAAAAATAAATAAATAAATAATAATAAAAAAAAAAAAACAAAATAAATAATTAAAGCGTACACTCGACCGAAAGTTATTTTTAACACTGACTCTGAATGGTACTACTCGGTAGTAGTGGTAGTAGTAGTAGTACTACTACGTCATGGGTATTTTTTCCCCACCATTTTTCACATCATATTAAGACTCGCTCGATCTCTTGTGTTAAAAAATTTCATTCCTTATTTTTCTGAAGGTCAGAAACACACACACTATATATATATATATATATACTTTCTACACTTTTTAAAAAAAAAAGGTTCGAGGGTATATAGATAGGTTTTCTTACACATACCTTTTTCCTTTCTTTCCTTTCCTTCCTTCCTTACACCATCACTAACTCAATATGGTGGTAAACATTTTAAAACTAAAAATTATTTTTCACTGTTAGTTATATTTTTCTACCGGAAAATTAAAATAAATTACTTAAAAACGTTTTGAAAATCAAATTACCGGTAAAAAATATTTAATGGTAATGGAATTTGTAAATTGTTTTTCTAAGAGCATCATACATTTTTTTTTTTTTTAAATTGCCTCCTTTCAGGCAAATTGTTCATCTTAACATTTTTCTTCTCTTCATAATAATAATAATAATAATAATTTATTCTCTTATTTGGTTAAAAAATCGATTTAAAAAAAAAAAAAAAAAACTTTATTTTAAATAATACTATCACCACCTACCCTTTTTTTTTTTCTGTAAAATAAGGCGTTACCGTACCTTGACCATAATAATAATAATAATAATAATAACACCTTATTGTTTTCTTGTATTATTCAAGGCTTTCTATTTTTTTGTTTCATTCGATATATATATAAATTAATATAAATTTAAATCGTTTTAAAAATATTTATTAAAATAAATGTTGAGAATGCATGATTCCATTTTCCCCTTTTTTTTTTTCAAAATCTAATATTTTATTACTTTTTAAATTAAAATTAATTTTAAAAGGGAAATCATATAGCATCATAGGGTAGTAGCGTACCTACCTACCTACTACCTACCTGTCACTTTTTTTTTTTTTTTGACAGGCTTTTAATAACATTTGCATGAGTGAAATATTCAAATAATAATTGCATAATAATGCTATTAAGTACTTAATTCATATTTAAAACATTTTTTTTTTTTTGTAACTAAATAGAAAGTCATTTTTAAATTTAACGGCATTTTAATAAAGTCTCTCGAAAACTTTTTTTTTTTTTTTTTTTTTGTTAGGGTGGGAAAACATTTGAATTAAAAAAAAAAAAAAACATTTATTCTTATTATAATTGTAAATTTTTTTCAAATAAATTAAAATTATTTATTTAAAAAAAAACGTTACAAAAAAATTTAATTTTTTTTTTTTTTTGCAAAGGGGAA